CATGTTCAAAAGGTAGTTAAGTTTGTTGTAGAATTAAATCCAGATTGAGGAGTAAATTTGTGTTCATATGAAGTGAAAATGTTACAAAGCATTGTTTTAAGTTCTTAAAGCTTATACTTTCTTTGTGATCTTCTCTGTACAGATCGGTACTCGTTGCATATAAATTGTGGTGGAAACCAAACCACCATTGGAAACATCAAGTATGAGGAAGACAATGCCTCAGGAGGTGCAGCAAAGTTTTTTCAGAACTCAGCAAATTGGGGATTTAGTAGTACTGGTGATTTTGCAGATGTTTGGAGCTCTGACAGTGACTACATAGCAAATAATGTTTCAATACTCAGAATGAACAACTCTGAATTGTACAAAACTGCACGACTGTCTCCTCTTTCTCTCACATATTATGCTCGTTGCTTAGCAAATGGAAATTACACTGTGAAACTACACTTTGCAGAAATAGTTCTCAGAGACAACAGGTCTTATTATGGTGTCGGAAGACGTGTTTTTAACGTTTATATCCAGGTAGTCATTCGCAGTGCTTTTTTGGCTCTGGAAAAATAGTTAAACATTTTTTTTATCATTTTGGTTTTAACCATTTGGATAGTTTTGACTCTTCCTTGTCTTTTCAGTTTTCACACACAAAGATGAACCAGCGATCCACAACTCGTCATACCTTTTTTACAATTTTTCTTAACCGCTCCCCCTCTTTATTATTTTTCTACTTGACTGAGTAAATTATTTAATGCAGGAACAACTGGTTTTGGAGGATTTTGATATTGAAAAGGAAGCACAAGGGGTTGATAAGGAAGTGATTAAGGTATTTAAAGCAGTTGTTAGTGTTAAGACTTTAGAAATCCGATTACAGTGGGCGGGGAAAGGGACAACAAATGTTCCAAAAAGAGGAATCTATGGTTCTCTGATATCAGCTATCTCAGTGCAGTCTGGTAAGTAGTAACGTATAAGTTTCTCTTTATAGAATCCTGTAGAAATTTACTGTTCTCTTATTGTCACTGTCCTTGTCACTTATTCCAGATTTCAACCCCCCTGATGATAGCAAAAGGAAGAAATTCATTGTGATTGGAGTTGTTTCACCATTATTCCTCATTTTCTTGATTTTGGGCATTCTTTGGTGGAAAGGCTGTTTCAGAAGCAGGACAACCAGGGAACAAGGTACAGACAATACCGTATAGGTCCTTTTTTGATTTAGAAAAGTCGAAAGTTATTCATATTTCTACTTGCTACAGTAAGAATTTTCAAAAGGGATTGTACACTGGTCACACCTATCAGTATGCTGAATCATTAAAGATTTAACTTATCAACGAAAGTCAGCTGCATGGTTGAACACTGCAGAGGATCGGAAATCTTATTCTTAGAATTACTAAATTTACATTTAATTAAATCATTAGCCTCTAATGTTTCCAATTACAATTCTAACTTAAATTTAATCCCAGTTCTAAAATAATTTCATCATCAAATCATGCATGCACGAATCTGATGGAATTTGACAGTTCACCAATATGCTAAAACTCAGAGGGGTTTAATGCCGGCCCTTGTTGTAAACCTGTTATAAGTGCAAATTCAACTTTTGTCCTACCTCTAGTTGTTCACTTGCCCTCTCAATTCTCAGTGCGTAGATATTTCAATATGTTAACCTTTCAACATGAACAGATCTCATGGGATTAGATCTGCAAACTGGTTTCTTTAAATTCAAGCAACTTAAAGCTGCAACTAACAACTTCGATACTGCCAACAAGCTTGGGGAAGGTGGCTTTGGAGCTGTTTACAAGGTATTCCGTGACTCCTTTTTGTTTCCCTATATTTGTCAGAACTTTTCTTTTGTTTTGAATGCCATGGTGTATCACACTTAAGAGACTATTATGGTTGACCTATATTCCTCAAATGTGTTATATTTCAAACTGCAGGGCGAATTACTAGATGGCACTTTTATTGCAGTTAAGCAACTTTCTTCAAAATCAAAGCAAGGAAATCGTGAGTTTGTGAATGAAATAGGCATGATTTCTGCCTTACAACACCCAAATCTTGTGAAATTGTATGGATGCTGCATTGAAGGAAATCAGTTATTTTTGGTATACGAATATATGGAGAACAATAGCCTTGCCCATATTTTGTTTGGTAAGTTGGACAATCTGGAAGTGCAATACTTCCGTATCTTATAATTAGTTTCATAAATATTCTTAAGTTCTCTGTTAATTTCAGGCCCGGACGAAGGCCTAAAGAAATTGGACTGGAATAAAAGGCAGAAAATATGTCTTGGCATTGCAAGAGGTCTGGCTTTCCTGCATGAGGAGTCGACTCTAAAAATTGTTCATAGAGATATCAAAACAAACAATATACTACTTGACCGGGACCTTAACCCTAAGATATCCGACTTTGGTTTAGCTAAGCTGGACGAAGAGGAGAAGACCCATATTAGCACCAGAGTTGCTGGAACTATGTGAGTAACCTTCGCTTTGCTCTATCAATCATTGTGGTTTCTATTTTGCTTTTTTTACTTTCTTAGTTTAGACAGCTTTTTTTTTATTATTCAATCTTCTTTTTAAAGAAAAGCTTTTATTTGTAATAGATGTATTAATTGCAAAAGTGTATTTCAAAACATCACTGAACTTAATATAATGAATGTACATAAAATTCGTTGAATGGCATCTTCATGGATGCTAACAGAAGTTGTTAATGTGCAGAGGATACATGGCTCCAGAGTACGCGTTATGGGGCTATTTGAGTGACAAAGCAGATGTTTACAGTTTTGGGGTCGTTGCATTGGAACTCGTATCTGGAAAAAACAACATCAAATATCGTCCAAATGAGAATTTTGTCTGCCTTCTTGATTGGGTAAGATCTTTGTCGCATTCGTTTAGTCCATGAAGTATATAGGAAACCAGGGTGCTTTCCGTAGAACTGATTTTCCAACATAAGCAAATTGTTTGGCTCCACCTGATTTGTAAAATAGAATGAAGAATTAAGAAACGTGGCTTTTCATTTTGTTCTTGAAATGTTTACAATTTTTCATCATTCCTTCTGCATTTTTTCTCAATGCCGCAGGCCCTTGTCTTGCAACAAAATGGACATCTGATGAAGCTGGTGGATCGAAAGTTGGGGTCTGAGTTCAATAAGGAAGAGGCAATGCGAATGATAAAGGTAGCTCTACTATGCGCCAATCCATCACCAGCACTAAGACCTTCTATGTCCGCAGTAGTGAGCATGCTTGAAGGCCAAACTCTTGTTCAGGAGGTGAAGATAAACCCCAGTATTTATGGTGATGAGTTGAGATTGGCCTTCTCGGAGGACTCTGATACTTATACTGAACAGAGCACGCGAACCTTACCTTATTCATCCGATGCAAAATGGACCGCCTCTACCTCATCGTCTGTCTAGGATATCTACGCAGTTGATACTGATTCTCTACGGTAAAATTAAGAACAGTATGGCCGGGTACTCTGCCACTGAAGGCAGGTACTCGTACCAAAATAAAAGCGCAACTTCACTAGAGACTGCTGCTATACAAGCTTGTACAGTATGAAGAGGGTAACATCAACTACTTTATGGTTTTTATTGATCATAGCATCTGCATATAACGTGTATAACATAATGGTGGTAGTAGATCGCATGATGGTGCCCGAACATCATTTTTTTTTTATTTATGGAAAACGATAGAAATTCATGCTAAATTAAGGTAGAATACAACCAGCAGGCGAAGCATGATAATCTGAGGCTCGTGTACACTTCTTGAAATTCAATTTTTTTTTAACTAAAATTGATCATGATAAATTTCTCTGACAAAAATTCAATGACTAGGCTCCAACTAAGCAATATCCATAATTAAGTATGACTTGGCAAAATTTGTATTTTTGGATGTCTAAATTACTCCTAATAACACTTACTTTGGGTCTCTCGCTTATTATCTACATTTATTTTACATTATTTCATTCAATTAAATATCTTCAAATACCTTATGGGGATCTGGAAAAAAAAAAATTTTAATGTCATGATTCCCATGAATTTAATAAAAAAAATTTACATGATACCAATGTTCCTTATTTAGTTGTTTTCACATGATGCTAACAAGTAAATTAGTATATCCTACAAATATAAAAAAAAAATTATTTTTATTCAAAATTATCAATATTTTAAATATAACATAGGTAAATTACCTACATGCAAAATAATTTACCTACAAAATAAAAGAATGTCGATTGATTGCACACTCTATATAATAATAACAAAATGTGGCTAGTATATATGTAATATCACATGAAAAGTAATTTACCTACAAAATAAATAAATGTTTTTAGCCAATTGATTCAAAATTAATTAATCACATATTATTTTACATAAAAATATAGATAAATTATTTGTATGCATATATATAATTTTAACAAAATGTGCCTAATAGATACATGCAAAATAATTTCATCACTTTTTTTTTTCTTTCTCTCTCTCGAACAAGTTTGTTTGAAATAACCCTTTTTAATAAAAGAATAAGAAAATAAATAAAAATAAACATTGGTGTTTTTATCTCTACCCCCTATAACTTCAAAACTTGCACACCAATGTACTCATCCATTATTTCCGGCAAAACTCTCCCAAATAATAGCAAAATATTTTCTCGAGTTAATCAACGAGTCAACTTGCTAGAAACTCTTATCAACCCTCATTTAAAATTTCAGCGTAGGTTTTCGGCTAATATGTTTGCTTGTTTGAACCATTATTTGGGAGTTGGCTACTTGCATAAATTATTAAAACTAACAAGTCAGCTTGCTAGAAAACCTTTTTGCTATCTCTTCTAAATGGACACTGACATGGAAGCTTTTTTCTCATATTGCAGGCATTTGTTTCATGTCCAACAAATTGATAAGAAGTCTTCTCCACTAAAATTATAAATGAGGGCCGCTAAGGCTTTCATGCAACAAGGGTTTCTAGCAAGCTTACTTGTTAATAAACTCAGGAGAATATTTTGTTGTCATTTGCGTCACTCTAGAACTAAACATTAAAACACTTAACAGAGAATTTGAAATACAAATTCACTAACCATTAGCAGCTTGCTATTGTACATCACATTTATGTACTCTTGAAGATCCCTCCACTGCCGAATTGTCTTTGAGGGGTCGGCCTTGGTAACAACAGACTCTTGGAAAGAATTATTTGCCTGCACCACCTTACTTAATTAAACGGTTTGAGGATGCTCCATCACCTAAAATGTGAAAACATGACCAAACAGGTAGAATTCAGAGGAGGTGGTGGGACATAAATCGTTGTATTGCAGACTTGCTGTACGTTTTTCTCTGTTCTTTTTGGATAACAACACTATTTTCTCTAAACGATTTCCACAACTGTAATACTTTCAACTTAGAAAGAAAAGAAAAGGCTTTGCTAAGAAAAGGTTCCATAAAATGCACAATGACAATATAGATACGTGGGACAATTATGAGTTTGGCGCTTTAACCATTTAGTCATGGATACTTAGCGGCGATCCTCTTACATGGTGAATAACTAAATTCCAAATGAAATGAAATCTTTAGCATAAATCAATTCAATGTAGGAGGATTCAATTAAAGGACATGAATTCAAATCCTGAATTTTCGAATTGAGAGAGATATTGAGAAACATTGAGAATACACAATTTGTAAGGTCAGTGGCTTCGTAATCGTAAAATACTTTCACAAATAGTGATATTAAACGAGAGGTGTCTTACACTTTGATAGGAGGAATTGTAGTTTGATCAGGGCGTTCAAATCAAAGTCTCGCCTCTTAAAATATTGACATGTGATTGTGAACCCTCTCTCCGTATTGGCAGGCATTTACACCCTCTCCATATAGGTACGTGGGAAGAAGGCTTGCTGCGGAGACATGGATTGCTACAAAAGAGATGACAGATCATTCTCCGTACTTCTTCTAACCCTCATACCTATGGGGAAAATATCCAAATCCAAATTACAAAGCATGTATAATAATCAATACATACCTCATTACAAGAAAGTGTTCGACTTACAAACCGTTGTTTGATAGCACATAAAAGTTATGATGTAGCATACAAATAAATAACACAAACCATTATTTCATAGCATATATAGGGTTTAGGGAAATTCTAACTCCTCAATACTCTTTTAGTTCCCTAGTCTATTTTATGGATCTTGAATGAACTCTTGGATAAACATTATTCGTAAACAATGGTTGGTTGTTTTTTTTTTTCCTGTCTTTGAGATAGGAGAGAAATGGTTGGTTTAGTGATTTCAAATTGGAAGCATTGGCCAAGGGGTTGGTTCTGTGAAAGAAAAAAAAAAAACAACCAACCATAATAATGTCTATTCAAGAGTTCATTCAAGATCCACGAAATAGACTAGGGAACTCACAGAGTAGCGAAGAGTTAGAATTTCCAATCATAAATTTGTCATGCATGATGAAGAGAGATTCCAACTAAACCTATTATTGGCTGTCATTACCTTAAATCTATCATTCAAAGAGTATTGAGGAGTTAGAAAATTTCTTCTGCACGGGTCATATAACTTATTACTGGCTGTCATTACCTTAAACCTTAATAATTCTCTCATGGATGATGAATAGAGATTCCAACTAAACCAAAATGCAACCTCTTCACTAACATTTTTATATAAAACCCCCCATCCCTCCACTTTTTATTAAAGAAATAAATGTTGCATGAGCTTATATCTAAAGAACCCTTAAATATATAAAGCAAACATAGCCCGGCGACGAGCCACCGCATTGGCAGTACACGTCAAACATTCGATATAACTTGACTTTACTTGGTACGAGATAATTATAATAGGCAGTTTTAGAGAAAATTGTCCTCATTCCCTGTATATATCAATTCTAATTGGACATACATAGAAGACGTCTAATTTTGAAGTTTGAATGACGCGTGCGTGAATAATAATAATGGTCTTATTCAAACTTGACTAATCCAGTTCTGCTTGTCAATTAGTTCACAAGAATCAAAACCAACAGCTGATAATAATGTAAGATAGTAACGTAGAAATTCCTATATCTTCATCTGCTTGCCAATTAGTATACAGCAAACAACTTGTATTTTTCTAATAAGCACGTACGATTAACTAAAGATTACTTAATTAATAAAAGAAAAGTTAAGGTCAAGGTTGATATTATAAGGGCTCTGCCGACATATATAGCCAGCAGAGCTCATCGAATGTAAACTGTAAAGTGCGTGGTGAGGAAACATGACGGAAAGTCGTAATATTATTTCAAAGCTGCCAATCATCCTCTTCAGCTATGTTGTTGTACTCACAGTGCTTATGTGCACTGAACCAATCAAATCCCAAGCACAGGTGGGGACTCTTGCAGATGATGAAGGTAAGCAATTTTTCTTAAGTAGCTAATTTTACGAGATGTTTGATAATCATTTAGTCTTCATTTTTAGTTTTTTTTTTAATTGTCAAAGTCTTTATTTTTCTTGTTTTTATTTTCATCTTTTTTTGCAAAGTGAATATTTTTTTGGAGTAACTAGAATCCCCTATATTTTCTAACTTATTTAGACTAAATATCTGTTTCTTTACAAAATTTAATTAAGATCTCTGATCAATTGCCAACTCAACATTTTTTATTTATTTAATATATATCCACCAGCTAACAACTAATTTTTTTACAATTTAGTGAATTTTAAAATTGTGACTTTATTAAAAATATTAATTTAACTAATTTCTCATTATCATTAAAAAAAGAGTAAATTTTTATTTCTGTTATTATATTTAATTAGTCTCTTCGTTCATTAAAAAAACGTCATTAATACTTTCATAGGAAACTTCATTAATTTGTTAAAATTTTAAAACTTGTGGTACATTTGAAAATAAACGTCAACTTTTTGTACATTTAGATTCTAAATAATACCAAGAACAAAATGTACCAGAAATTCAAATTACCGTAAAATCAAGTGTACCAATATTATAGATAGTCAATCGTACCTTTAATAAAATTGTGGAAAAAATATTTAATCAAATTCTTAAAATGAACAAATATTTAATCAACGAAATTAAAAAACAAAATCATCTATATGAAAACATCCCCATGTTTTATTTTTTAGAACTTGTTTAGTAATTAATTTCAATTTTTACATTTTTCAAAATATGTAATTGATTTCAAAATCTCTAAAATCATTTATGTTGAAATAAATTTGGAACAAAAGTTAGATCAACATGCACCAAATCCTTGTTTGGATTCCCAAACAAAAAGTTCTAGAAATTTTGCATGAAAAAAATAATTTTGAGGTCATAAAATTCAAGAGTGAAAATTTCAAAGAAGAAACAAACAATTAATCAAGTACCAGTACTACCTCACGAGTTTAAACCCCCTCGCCACCGCTACCAACGTTGCAGCCACTGTCCCACCACCAACGCCGCCTCAATTGGACCCCATCCCACGACGACTCATTTATATTGGTGTCGCTTAAAAGATGGAATTAAATTTCGTTTTTTTTTTTTTTTGTTGGAGAACCTCGGCCGTATGAAGAAATTGTATTCATATGAAGAAAAAAAATTATATCTAGTCAGAGGAATATAAACCTTATTCTTATAAAGCAAGCAAAATAAAATAAAAAAACAAAGGTAGAGTATAAACCTTATCCTTCTTGAAAAAAAAAAGATACAAAAAAAAAAAAAAAAAAAAAAGAGAAAAACACATAAATCTTATCTCTCTCAAATAAGAAAATACAAGAAAGGGGGCCCGAGGGGAGGGGGATTATGTGCTGCAACCAGGAAACAAAATTTTTCCAATGAGTTCGAAGAGACCAAGGAGGAGACAAGGATCAGAAGGAAAGCAAGATATCATACTAGAAGAGTCACTTTCATAGCCATAAATTTTGCCAATTCCAGTGCATGAGCTAACTCCATAGCTAGGATGACAACATGAAGTTCTACGTAGAAAGAAGTATGATGCCCCAAGCTTAAGAAGAAACCACCAAGAAAATAACTAGTAGAATCTCGAAAAATCCCATCACAACATTGCAGGACTTGAGTTATTAAATTTCTCCTTAAATTCTATTACACTTTAGCCAAATAATAAACTTCACAATTTCTATACCATTAGGGGAAATATATATATTTGCTCACCAATTTCAAGTGATGTTCACCACTCTATTTATCACCTTCGCATGAGTTTAAATTTCAAAATTTGCGTAGTGAATAGATACAAACCTCAAAATTTAAACTCATTTAATGATAATAAGTAGGATGGTGAGCATAACCACCAGCTAAGGGTGGTGAGCAACCTGGTTCAATACAACTCTCAAAAATCTTCTAGTAAAAGCAAAACCACTTATGAAGAAAACAATTTTCTTCAGCAGCCATACAATTAATGATAGGAAAAATGAATGTCCAAGATTGAAAATAAAAGATCTATAGTTATGAAAATCAAATCTAACAACTCATCCATGTAATACGTAGTATTGAGCCACGCTCAAATAGTCGCAAACATTTAAAAAAAAAGTGCTTTCTAAGTATTAAATCACAAACAGATCCTACCGCATCGTCATTTTAAATTCTATCATTTCAGAATTTATTAGGATTTTAAAATTTCTCATGGGTAAAATTTCCGTTTTCTACTACTTTAAAACTTGTTAGGATTGCTTTTGTATATAACACTTTTACTCATAAGTGTTTTTGAGATTGTATCTATTTTTCTTATTAGAAACACGTCAAAATTTTTGTTAGTGCTTCTGCAAGTCAAAAGCATTTTTGATTGTCAAAAAACTTTTAACCTGTTCATAAGTTTTTATTTTTGTTTTGGTGTATGGAAATTTGGTGTTTGTAATGGCAGTGGAAGCACTCCGAGAAATAGCTGCGCAACTGAATAAAGAGGACTGGAATTTCAGCGACCCATGCAGCAATATAAAACAACAATCAAGACATTTCTTGTGGAAGTTTTTTTCATTTTTTTGTTCATCTCCAGGGTCTTTTGTATATTGCAGGCTTTTGTTTTACAACAGACTGGAAATCTGATGGAGCTGGTCGATCCAAAGTTGGGCTCTGACTTTAACAAGGAACAGGCAATGAGACTGATTAAGGTCGCTATACTATGCACTAACCCAGCACTGGCATTAAGACCTACAATGTCTGCAGTAGTGAGCATGCTTGAAGGTCGAGCTATAGTTCATGAACTGAACATAAATCCATGTATTTACGGTGATGAAATGAGGTTTGCGTCCTTTAGAGACGAGTCTAACAGTCGGAGTGCGTGCGAGACAGAAAGCTTAATTTATTTATCTGATCCAACGGCAATTCCCTCTTCCCACTCGTCTGTCCAAGATTTGTATCCGGTAAATTTTGATTCTTGATGGTCAAATCATCATATTCATACTCATAAGTGCGTCAGACAGATGGTCATTTTTTAACGAGTGTTAAGTTCTTCTAATCCATTATGTTTATGTGCAGCTATGAAAATTATAACAAATCCCAAACATTGGCGAGTTACAGTTCATGGCGTTTACATTCTAATATTTGTAACTTTAATTATATTAAAATTTGTTATTGGATCTGATTGACAATTTCATTCATCCACGTCGAAAAGAATTAAATGAAAGAAATAAGGCAAACTAAAAATAAATGCAAAGTTTGCCAAGAATGTTTTTTATTGAAACAAGCAAGCATATGCAGAAGATTTACATACACTTTGATGTCATGAAGTACAGGCTATAATTAACTAAAAGTGGTAAGTGTATTTCTCTGAGACTGTAAAATTTATAAAAATAAGAGTCGCAATGTAGAGTGCTTAGTATCCTGGGAACATTGGTGGAGGTGGAGAGGAGTATTGGAAGCCGAAGGTAGGTGGCAGGACAAAGCTGAGCTCTGGAGGAGGCGGTGAGAAAACGGAGGGAGGAGGTGAAGGAGAAGGACAAGGAGAAGGCGGTGGTGGTGAGTTAACAGGTGGTGGAGGTGAGTGAACTGGTAGTGGGGGTGAGTGCACAGGTGGGGGTGGAGAGTGCACTGGCGATGGCAGAGAGTGCACAGGTGGTGGTGGAGAGTGGAATGGTGGTGGCGGAGAGTGCACAGGTGGTGGAGAGTGGATTGGTGACGGTGGTGAGTGGACTGGTGGTGGGGGTGAGTGCATAGGTGGTGGAAGAGAGTGGACTGGTGGTGAAGATGACTGTACAGGGGGAGGTGGAGAGTGGATTGGTGGGGGTGGAGAATGGATTGGCGACGGCAGTGAGTGGACTGGTGGTGGGGGTGAGTGCACAAGTGGTGGAAGAGAGTGGACTGGTGGTGAAGGTGACTGTACAGGGGGAGGTGGAGAGTGGACTGGTGGTGGAGGAGAGTAAACTTGGGGTGGAGGAGAATGGATTGGTGGTGGAGGTAACTGGACTAGTGGTGGGGATGAGTGAACTGGTGGTTGCGGAGAATGGACTAGTGGTGGGGGTGAGTGGACCGGTGGTGGGGGTGAATGCACTGGTGGTGGGGGAGAGTGAATTGGTGGTGGGGGTGAGTTGACTAATGGTGGTGGAGGAGTTTTCCTTAGTGGTAGGGGTGATTTAGGTTGAATTGGAACAACGGGACTTTGCCCTATAGATGCGGGTGATGGTGGTGTTGCTACAGGTGGTGGAGGAGAATGGACTGGTGGTGGTGGTGGCGGCGAATGAACCAGTGGTGACTTAGGGTGAATTGGAACAACTGGACTTTGACCTGAAGGTGCAGGGAATGGCGGCATTTGTACATGTGGTGGTGGAGAGTGAATAGGTGGTTGCAGTTTTGGCGTAGGAAGGGAAGGTTTTGAAGGTCCTGGTCCACCTCCACACTTTGCCTTACTACAATCCACTGGCTTGCTCACTACAGCTTGACACTGTTTTGCTGACTTCTGTTTAGGCCTATCCGGCAAGCAATTGCTTGTGTCTTCAAACACAACGTCCTTCTGAGAAACCGGCACACATTCTTTGGCCTCACCATTGAAGTAGTTGTAGGAAAATGTGAAATTTCCCAAGCTAGGCAAGTTGCATAAACACTCAGGAACAAACCCGGTTAGCATGTTATGTGCAATGTTCAACTCCTCCACCTTTTGAAGGCCTTCGAATTTTTTTGACATGATCCCGCTGAATGTGTTTGAGCTAACATCAAACACCGTCACATTTGAGAGGTATCCGATTTCATTAGGCAAACACCCACCAAACTTGTTGTTAGAGAAGATGACCTCATTCAAGGTGTTCACCATCTTTCCTATGGTGTGAGGAATGCAACCTTCTAGACGATTGTTGGAGACCACAAGAACCGAGACGGGGGAGTTTCCAAGTGTGTCAGGAATGGTGGATGTGAACCTGTTGTTGTTTAAGAACAAAGCATCCAATTCCTTGTTGAAAAGCTCAGGAGGCAATTTTCCCTCAAAGTCATTAAACCTGAGGTCGAGGTACTTGAGGTTGGGAATTTTGAGAACAACTTCAGGGAACGATCCCACGAATTGGTTGTTGCTAACATCAAGCTCGTGGAGAAGAGTTAACCTAGCAAAGCTCTCGGGAATGACACCACAAAACCTGTTAGTGTTGATGTGGAACAATGCAATGTCACTCAGCAGGCCTAATTCAACCGGAAGGTATCCTACAATGTCTGCATGGTTGATATCAATGCCGGCCACAACCTCTATTTTGGGGTCATCAAGTGCCGGGGCACAAAACACTCCGCTATAAGCACAAACATCACCACCAACCCAATTCTCAGTTGTTTTAAGAGGGTCTGAGTAAATTGCCTTTTTCCAAGCTTGGAGTGCAATGTATGCACATCTAAGCCTGGTGTGAGGGAAAGTTACGTTCAACTCAACCTCATATTCTTTTTCATCGCGTAGGTCATCGCTTTCGTGAAAATGTAAGAGCTGGCGGCGAGTAATGGAGGACACTTCGGCATCAGTTAGAGCGGAAGAGAATGATGAGAAAGAAGAGAAGAGAAGAAAGGAAAGCAGAAAGTAGACAGCCTTCATATTTTGGCTGATGAAGAGAAAAGGGTGAATGAGGGAGATTATATTGAGTGGGAGGGTCAGTTCGGTTTGGTTTGCTTGAGAGGCTGTGCAATAATTACACTGTTGGATTCGCAAACTTGAGTAATTGCCTTTCTGGCTTTTTAAAATTAGGCATTGTATATATAGTTTTTTTTGTTGGACTGAATTAACTAATCCATCGCACCACAACTAGACCTAAACTAATCCTCACCTGTGATGTTCTTCTTCCCCATCCTCCAATTCCTTTTTCTTTCTGGTAAAGCCCGCACCCCATCCCTCAACTCTTTTCATATTTCCCACATCTCTTTTTCCCATCTTCTTCTGATTCTTCACTTTTGATTCTTCTTCTTCTTCCCTTCTGATTGTCTTCCCCATCCCCCAATTCTTTTTTCTTTCTCATGAAGTCCGCGCTGCACCCATCCCCCAACTCTTTTCAGCATTCCCATCTCTTTTCTCCATCTTCTTCTTTCATATTGGTCGTTGCCCATTGAGACAGAGAGAAACAACCCTAAACCCCAAGTGTTATTAAACACTTGAATAACTTGGAATGAGTGCAATTCTCATTTCTCTCATTCCACTTTTCTTATGTAAACACGCTCTAATACCACAATTGGAAAACAATAACAAAAATAACAAACATGAAGGCAGGGATTCGAAAATAATGGAAGCCTGACAACTCTACTGTATTTAGTATTCCCGCGTCTTATGAACATGTACTACTGTCGCAAAAGGTTATTAAAATTCAAGGTCCTAAAAAAGTCGGGGTCCTATACAGTCGCACGTATTGCACACTTTTAAAGTCGACTCTGTTTCGATTATAAAGGTGAATACTTTTAGTAGCTGGAGTTACAAGCCCCGGACAAACATTTTTTTTAAAAACAAAATATTTTCATCCAAATTATCACTGAACTTTTGGCCATGCTTTTTATGTAAATCAACAGAATGTCATGAACTGGTTATTTAACTTATTACTATGCAGAGAGCATAAGCAAAAAATGCATTGCAATTCGTACCTGTCGAGAACAACAAATACCAAAAACAGCTTTGACAGCATTCATATTCTTGGTTCTCTTTTTCTTTACAAAATGATTCAGTGCATATTTTTGCTATACACTTTGAGCTAAATGTCATTATATGTGTTAATCAATAAATGATGGAGTACTTACACGTCAATATAAAGTTACTTTGTTTATTTTTTAAACATCATTATTTATTCCACATTTATATTGGAGAACCGTTTCCAAGTGGCCTATAATTTTATTTTTTTTAACATTTTTGGCAAACGATCTTATGAAAACTCAATAAAGCATCGCTCACAAAGATTGTAGGCTATCATCTTACTCGGTTTTCTTAAATTCTAGAAAATTCTATTTTTGTGTCATTTTCGCCGCACAAAAACTTCGTAACCTATGCAGAACATTACACATTGGCCGTTGAAAATTTTTAATTGATGTTGGATACTTATGTGCTCTAAGTCTCACTATTTTATTATAGATTTTTCCATTTCTCCATCATAAAATGCTATAAAAATCACTTACAAGAGTCACCAAATGGTAGGCCGTTACCTAACATTTTTTGTGATGTGCGTGCAAAAACGATGCTAAAACTCAAGTACTCAACAATTGTATTTTTAACAAATATTGTGAGCTATAATCTTAAGTTTTAAAGAAAAACTAACGAAAAGTTCAAAAAAAACTTTAATTTTAATGAAAAATGACAAATAAATGTGTAGTGAATAATACTAGAAAAAGATAAAAATGTGGTTTTTCGTTAAAAGTGAACAGTATCGGAAATGTTTCATTAAAATTCCCAAGTTTTAATGGTTCTGCAAAGTTCTACAGTATAATCAATTTCCGTGCCATTTTTGTTGCACTGTAAGCTCCGTTATAATTCTTACTGGGCATTCCAAGGATGTTTTGGCAACCAAAAAACCGTTTTGGCTTCCGAAATGTATTTTAGGCCTTGCTAGTTTATTTAATTTTTGTGTTTTCCAACTTAAATTACAACAAAAAATAACTTATGACATTCAATAAATTGTAAGACCGTTTCCAAATAATTTATATTAATTTTCTTAGTGGGAAGATCTTGCAAAAATAGAATTATCACATATTTTACGAAAATGGGTTTTTAGATGGTCCAAAATCATAGGCTAAATTTTAAGAGTTCAATTATATTTTCTTGTCCAATTTCAAATTTTTGTGCCTATTTCACTCTTTGAGGTAACAAAGAATATATTTAATGCATCAGTAACATAAGTTTACATTTTTAAATATTTATACATATTCAAACTTACAATTATCTACGAAAGTACTGTTTGTTTTTAAATAAAATAGTTTTAAAAAAAAAATTCATATGTTGTGTATACCTATAAAACCATAATAATATCACAGAGGTTGAAAAAACGATGGAAGCCCTTCATTTTAGTGTTAAAATACGGCATGTATGACATACTTACGTTATAGGGCAAACACAAAAACCTAGCAAAAAGACCCCGTGATAGAGGTAGATGGTCTCGTTTGGAAGCTTGAACTATACTGATTATTTCAGTCGAATAAGATAAATAGTCGTCGGATAGTACTGACTAAATTAGTCAGACGTTTGGTGTTCTATCGGATTAATTAGTGCATCGAATAACATGTCGGACTATAATAATTTTTTGGAAAATTTAAACCCATGTAACCTCTTTCTATACCCAACTTAAATTTTAAATGTTAATTGTCTATTTTACCATATATTGCATAATTACTATTAAGTACCCAATAAAATTAAAAATAAAACTCAAATTTATCAATAAACCCACATACTATAATTAAACCCCAACATCACTATTTGTTTATCGTACATTCATTCCGGCTAAAACCCTAATAGCTCTTATAGAGAAAAACAAGTTTTATTTTTTATTTTTTTAGGCATATTATATTAACACCCCACAAAATTGTTGAATAAATCTCACATATTTAATACACCACACATTTGCTTTTTCAATTAAAAATTATCTTAATACATGTGACATCCCACATTGCCCAGGTGAATGATCCTTAAATGTATATTCTCATCCCTACCTAGTACGAGGCTTTTGGAGCTCATTGGCTTCGGGTTCCGTAGGAACTCCGAAGTTAAGCGAGAAGGGGCTAGAGCAATCCCATGATGGGTGACCCACTGGGAAGTTGCTCGTGAGTTCCCAAAAACAAAACCGTGAAAGAATGGTAAGCCCAAAGCGGACAATATCGTGTTACGGTAGTGGAGTGGGCACGGGAAGTGATCCGCCCCGGGCCGGGATGTGACAATTTGGTATTAGAGCCTAACCCTGGTCGCGTGTGTGCCGACGAGGACGTCGGGCCCCTAAGGGGGGTGGATTGTGACATCCCACATCGCCCAGGTGAGTGATCCTTAAATGTATATTCCCATCCCTACCTAGCACGAGGCCTTTTGGGAGCTCATTGGCTTCGGGTTCCGTAGGAACTCCAAAGTTAAGCGAGAAGGGGCTAGAGCAATCCCATGATGGGTGACCCACTAGGAAGTTGCTCGTGAGTTCCCAAAAACAAAACCGTGAGGGAATGGTAAGCCCAAAGCGGACAATATCGTGCTACGGTAGTGGAGCGGGCCCGGGAAGTAACCCGCCCTGGGGCGGGATGTGACAATACACCCCACTTACTTCCCTATAATACCCTCACACCCCACATTCTTAATATATACCTTACATTTTTCTATATGCACCCCATATTTTCCATACACCCCACATTTCTCAAATCTTATAAAGTTTTTAATTCGGACAAATAATGCCAACTAAAATTTTGACAAAAGATACCACATGATATTTAAAGCATGTGTGGGTTGTTTTCAATTTCATCATTAAAACCCATGTCATTTGTTTTTAATATTTGGTGGTAATTTTAGGTGTTTAATTCTTTATGTAATCCATGTGATCCCTAAAAAGGGAATACGAACATAGAAGTTTGAATAACACATCAAAAGCAAGATTAAATAATTATCGACGTCGTCAAAATCACTAAAACAATAAATAATACGAAGTCTTACCTCATGTGAAGTTTCTGAAACATCGATTTCATGTTTTATTCGTCAAAAATAATTTTTCCCAATCAACATGTTTGTAGTTTCATTGGTTAAGGTTTTGTTCAACAATGGAGGGTCAGAAGGGTTTTGATAGTTGAAGATAAATAATACGTAAAAAGTGATTTGGGGTGTATATATTTTATTTTTTATTTTTTTAAGCTAATAAGGTCAAAATTGTCATTGCATAATAGGATAAATAAGTTATTTAATATTAAATTTTAATGTCGGGTGCATTCAACATTTTGTGGGGTGCTAATATAAAAAGTCTTTTTTTATTGATAGATGGTGATTTTGAAGTTTTAAATAATCAAATTAAGGTATGACTCGATTTATGAATATTTTATTCATTTAATTTAACTTTTTTTGGAGTTTAGAAGATTAGTATTTGGGTATCATTTTTTTTTCATCAATCCCGTATAGTACCCTTTGTTAAACTTTCTGCAACAACAAATTGGACACTCTCTCGGTGTATGTGTACACCCCAAAAACCCTCCAATACGATTTCTGCTGCTGTTGCTGGTACATGTATGGCTGCTGTTGTCCTGTGTCCACATGCCTTCCAATACGTTTTACATTTTTCTTGTAACTAATCAATGCTTGAAGACACTAATTTAGGAAATGAGTCGTCATCACTTCGGATAAAAGAATTAAATAGCTAACAAATCCACCTATTGAACCTGAGGAATTGGATCTTATCAGGATCTAATTGTGTATCGTGCGGTAAAAAATCATTTGACTTGTTTATTTAAACTTAAACACAAATAATACCTAACGAAAACTGACCGCACGATAAACGATGAACCGCTATGATGTGGGATCCTTAGGATCCTCACAAAGTGGATCCGGAGAGGATCCTCTTCCCTTGCCTGATACCTTTTCAAAAGCTAAAATCGTTGGATGGATGCACAATGTCATTAATAGAGTTAAGAGTCAAATGGGTGTAAAGGTAAATTTGCATATTGGATTAGGTTTGTAAGGGTATTTTAGGTAGTAAATTTGGGTTTAAAGAGATTGATAGTTTAGTTAAAAATCATATGGGTGAAAAAAATAAGTTAGGTGTAGAAAGAGGTTACATGGGTTTACATAAAATTTCACTAATTTTTAAAAATAATTTCACAAAATAATTGTTGTTAAAATGTAGAAAAGGAAGAAAAACAGAAAATAAACAAATAAATAAAACATCATAACACAGACAAAAGTTAAAAAAATAAAAATAAAATTAATAAGGAATAACAAAAAGCTAGGTCTCTTTCTAGTCTTCTCCATCTTCCCCAACTTGTCAAATCCCACCCTCCATGTGAACCCACTCATCAATTCACCAACCAAAATAAAAATCCCAGAAATTAAATATTTTCAACGATAATGAACCAACATTTTATCATCGGAGCCTAGCTCCTCATTGGAGCCCAGATCGGAATTGCTATCTGTGACATCCCACATCGCTCATGGGAGTGATCCTTATATGTATATTCTCATCCCTACCTAACACGAGGCCTTTTGGGAGCTCACTGGCTTCGGGTTCCGTAGGAACTCCGAAGTTAAGCGAGAAGGGGGCTAGAACAATCCCATGATGGGTGACCCACTGAGAAGTTGCTCGTGAGTTCCCAAAAACAAAACCGTGAGGGAATGGTAAGCCCAAAGTGGACAATATCGTGCTACGGTGGTGAAGCGGCCCAGGGAGTGGTCCCTGCCTGGGCTGGGATGTGATAATTTGGTATTAGAGCCTAACCTTGGCCGCGTGAACAATATCGTGCCGGGCTGGGATATGACAATTGGTATCAGAGCCTAACCTTGGCTGCGTGTGTGCCGACGAGGACGTCGGACCCCTAAGGGGGGTGGATTGTGACATCCCACATCGCCCAGGGGAGTGATCCTTATATGTATATTCTCATCTCTACCTAACACGAGGCCTTTTGGGAGCTCACTGGCTTCGGGTTCCGTAGGAACTCCGAAGTTAAGCGAGAAGGGGGTTAGAGCAATCCTATGATGGGTGACCCACTGGGAAGTTGCTCGTGAGTTCCCAAAAACAAAACCGTGATGTGAAGAATGATAAGCCCAAAGCGGACAATATCGTGCCGGGCCGAGATATGACACTATCCCCCTCCTCATGGGAGCCCAACTCGTCCTCCTTCTCGTTGAAGCCCAGATCGGAAGAATTCGTGTGAAATCCTATCCCCGAATTTCACTATTTAAAATTACATATTTCGTATTATTATTATTGACGCATTTATATTTGCGAAGCATAAATTTATTTCAATAAAAGGACGAAAAAGCCATTAATGGACTAAACGGAATTTTTAGGACGTATTTGATTTGCATATATTTCCTACTTTTCTTTACGCATTTGGATAGTACTCATCAATACGAGCACGTGAGCGAAAACGGAACGTAATTTGGAGCTATAACGAATAAAATATAAACGAGCAAAGGCTAGGGGTAAAATGGTAATTTTGTTCCATTTGCCGGAAGGCTCCATAAAATTTGGGAGCCTTCCCGTCACTTTTAAGACAGTTGGAAGGCTATGATTGGAGGGGAAAAACTACCTAATCAGAAGAAAGGAAAGGAGAGAAAGAAGGGGGAAATGGTGGCTAATAAGGAGGAGAGAGGGAAGAGAGGGAACCATTCAAAAGAGAAGAAATGAGGGAAATGAGGGAAGGGAGAAAAAGGAGGAGTACCGGATCACCCTTGACCCAATTTCTCTATGCGACCCTACCAGGTTCCCTTCACCCTCTAGACAATTTTCGTTGGTTTTTACGGCGAACTATGTCAAACAAACACCTGAGAAACACTCCACAACCTCCCCTCTACCAATTACAACCCAAAATTGATGGAAATTGGCTTTGATTTAGTGAAACCTACACCGGTGGGTGTAGTGTCATCGATCTACCAATTCTGAAAGGTTTTCCGTCAACTACCACCATCCTCAGGTGTCTCTTAAGTCCAGGAACAAAGCCCATTGGTGGGTTAAGGCATATTTCAACAATAACACAACAGGGTGGTGTTATCTAGAAGGGGCATTGGGGAGAGCGAAATGTGTAGTCGCGCAGGGCCCCAAATTTGAAGGGATCCCAAAATTTTTGCCATCTAATATTATGTAATAATGTTATATATTTGAAAATTTATTTTTGTTAGCACTTTAAAATCTCATTGTGCACCCTTTATAAGAATAATTTTTTTTTTCCTTTCTAAATATTAAAATTTGGAGTACAATGAAATATTTTCAGTGTCAATAATAACACCCTAAAAACAATATTTTTTTCAATTTTATTATAGAGAAAATTAGAATGTCCAACCTAAGCATTTTTAAATTTATTTTAATTAGATTTTTTCTAAATGAAAAATGTTATATGTTGATTTCCTACTTAATCTTTTTAGTTAATAGAGGTTTTTTGGCGTGTTAGAATTTATGCCCCTATGTTGGATAATTAATAGATATTAACTATTAAATCACCAATATTATCTCTTAATTTTTGAATTTTTAACATTTATTTTTCTATAATAAAATTTCATTGATCACGAAAAAAACTTACAGTAGCAGAAAAAAATGGAGATAACCAATCCAACATGATGAAAACACCATGGACGCCACATTTATCTTGTTGAGTTCTAGTGTGATTGCATAGTTGTGTAGTATGCAATAGAAAACAAGTGCTTTTAAAATATTGTAGCACAATATAATTTGCATAAAAGTTGTTGACAAAAGGGGTTAGTTGGAATGAGATTAATGTCATCCGGCATGAGATATATGAATGTGAATTTTAAATTGAAACAATTTTTAAATAGGGAAGTGTTATTGGCACTCTAAAAATTTCATTCTACACTCCTCACAAGTGTATTTTTCTTTCCTAATATAGAAAGTTTGGAGTGTAGAATGAGATTTTTGGAGTGCATAATGAGATTTTTGGAGTGCTAATAACAATTCCGTTTTAAATATATTAATTTTAATTTGAATTGTACTCATGTCATGTTGAAATGTACTGATATGACTAGAAATGTACCGATGCCAAATTGAAACGTACCAATGCTAATAGGATATGTACCCCTGCCAACTTGAAAATGTACTAACATATCGTCTAAAAATGTACCCATACCAAATTGAAACGTACCGATGTAGATATAAAATGTACCCGTGCCAACTTAAAATGTACCCACACATCAGCTAGAAACCTACCAATACTAAATGGAAACATACCCCATATAATCTACCACTACAATCTATTTTCCAAATGTACCATGGTACGAATACTCAAATCAAGAGGTTTGCATAAAATGAAAATAGAAAGGGAATGAACATGACTCAAAAAGGATGACATAAGAGAATCGACTAATGGAAAAGAAAGGACACGAAAAGACTGTAGAATGGTCGTGAAAGAAGAACATAAATATATATCACGTTAAAAGCATAAATAAATCAAATTTGATATGTTTTAGATTTTTAAAACATACGTCTATTAGATTTTAGGAGATATGGATAATCATTAGCTAATTGGTACATTATATATATGGTAAATTGTGTAATTTTGCATTAAAAAAATGCTACTTATAATATATTTGGCACCGAAAATGTAGGAAATTGTTTAAAAAAAATTCTAAAAGGAATAGATGTTTAATCTAACAAATAGAACAACGAGGCATTTAAATCTAAACGCCCCTTTATTATATGATAATGTTATATATTCAAGTGAAACTTTAAAGTTTGAGTTTTGAAGATTTTTTTTTTCCCATGTTTGGTGATTAAGATTGAACTGTTTTTTTTTATTATTTAATGAAGGTTATGTTTGTAGCTTTTTTACTTATAATTAATGACATTTGTAAATTTGTAATCAGTGAGTGATAAATTTTGTTTTGATTTAAGTGATTGTTTTTTAGTATTAATACATTGTTCTACTTTTTTTGTAACCATCTTAAGTAGGGGTCATTTCATAAATTTCGCACAGGGTCCCCAAAATCTCAGAGACGGCCCTGATGTTAGCTACACACCCTTTTTACCTTCCTCATACTCATCTCAATTTGACCGTCGGATCAAATGAATTAAAAATGCTTAAAAGACAAAAATTACAAAATATGAGTGAAAGATTAAAAAAAAAAGATGTGTGGAGAGCACCACCCAACACAAAATTGAACTACTCCTAATAAGTACTTTACAAAAATGGACATGTATCAAATCATGCCTTGCAAGGATTGCGAGGTGTAACCCATCATGTTTCAATTGTTTTTGCAAAAGGTTCACAAACACCATCATAAAACCTATTTTCTGGCATTAACACCGCACTATAAAACTTCTATAAATTCATGTAAGATATTAAAGAGATGTTTTGGCCGCCAAAAATCCATTATAGCTGTCAAAAATCGATTGTAGGCCCCGACAACTAGTATTTTATTGTATTTTGTTTCCCAACTTAAAACCCCCTACTTAAGAGTTAAATGGTAGCTTATATTTTTTTCTTTTAACACGAACATAAAAGATCTTGAAGACACTCAATCACATTTTTCCAAAAAAATGTGAGCTAACATTCATTTTACGACGGTCTAGAAAACTAATCAATATTATAAGGTAATATAATAAAATTATGGAAAATGCAAGGAAGACTATGATCTCTCTAGAATTACCCCAGAATTAGATGTAGTGGTGCTTGATCTTTTGTTGTAGTATGCATTCACACACATCAATCAAATTCTTCAAATTAAACAAAAGAAAAAAAAATGGATATGAAATTTGCCGATAACGTCCTTTTATTGCATTGAATAGCATATGAAAAGATTTACACTTTGATGTCATGAATTACGAGCTATGGTCAACTAACAAAAGTGGGTGTATTTTTGTGAGGTTGTAAATATTTATAAACAAAGTTTCATGCAGGGCCGAGCAACGAGTTTGATATCGTAGTGCGCTTAGTAGCCTGGGAACATTGGCGGAGGTGGAGATGAGTATTGGAACCCGATGGTCGGTGGCAAGACGAAGTCTGGAGGGGGTGGTGAGAAAATGGGAGGAGGAGGTGACAAAGATGGAGAAGCTGGTGGAGGTGATTGGACTAGAGGTGGCGGTGAGTGAATCGGTGCTGGTGGTGGGGGTGAGTGCACTGGTGGCGGAGGAGAATGGACTGGTGGTGGGGGCGAGTGGACTGGTGGTGGGGGCGAGTGGACAGGTGGTGGAGGGGAGTGAACTGGTGGTGGGGGTGAGTGCACTGGTGGTGGAGGAAAGTGGACTGGTGGTGGGGGTGAGTGCACTGGTGGTGGAGGGGAGTGGACGGGTGGTGGGGGTGAGTGTATTGGTGGTGGAGGTGAGTGCGGTGGAGGTGAGTGCACTGGTGGTGGAGGGGAGTGGACGGGTGGTGGGGGTGAGTGTACTGGTGGTGGAGGAGAATGGACTGGTGGTGGGGGTGAGTGCACTGGTAGTGGAGGGGAGTGAACGGGTGGTGGGGGTGAGTGCACTGGTGGTGGAGGGGAGTGGACGGGTGGTGGGGGTGAGTGTACTGGTGGTGAAGGAGAATGGACTGGTGGTGGGGGTGAGTGCACTGGTAGTGGAGGTGAGTGAACGGGTGGTGGGGGTGAGTGCACTGGTGGTGGAGGAGAATAGACTGGTGGTGGAGGCGAGTGCACTGGTGGTAGAGGTGAATGGACTACTGGTGGAGGTGAGTGCACTGGTGGTGGAGGCGAGTGCACTGGCGGTGGAGGTGAGTGGACTGGTGGTGGTGGAGGAGAGTGAACTGGTGGTGGGGGAGAATGAAATGGTGGTGGGGGTGAATGGACTGGTGATGGGGGAGGAGAGTGAACTAGAGGTGGTGGCGAGACTACAACTAGTGGAGGGGAATGAACTAGTGGTGGTTGAGGGTGGATTTGAATGACAGGACTTTGCCCAAAGGGTTCTGGTGGAGGGGTTTGAACAATTGGTGGAGGGAAAATTGGAACCACCGACTCTGGAGCGGGTGCTTCTTCTTTAGGCGGTTGTGCCTTGGGTGGTTCATCCTTTGGAGGTTGTTCTTTGGGTGGCTCATCTTTTGGAGGTTGCTCCTTTGGTAACTCCTCTTTGGGAGGTTGCACCGTTGATGGCTCATCCTTGGGAGGTTGTACCTTTATTGGTGGCTCCTCTTTGGGAGGTTTCACTTTTGGTGGCTCCTCTTTGGGCGCTTGCACCTTTGGTGGCTCCTCCTTTGAAGGTTGTTCCTTGGGTGTCTCTTCTTTGGGTGGTTGCGGTTTGGGTGTAGGAGTTGTTGGAACCAGTTCAGGTGAAGGCTTTGGTGTCTTTGGGTTCTCAACCGGAGGCTGAGAAGGTTTCGAAGGCCCATGTCCACCGCCACACTTTGCCTTATCGCAATCCACTGGCTTGCTCACCACCGCATAACATTCTTTAGCCGACTTTTGTTTTGGCCTGCCCAGTAAACAATTGCTCGCGTCATTAAACACAACATCTTTCAAAGAACCTGGCACGCATTTTTGGGCCTTTCCATTGAAGTAGTTGTACGAGAACGTGAAGTTCCCTAAGTTTGGCAACATACATATACTCTCAGGAACAAACCCAGTTAGCATGTTGTGTGAGACATCCAACTCCTCCACCTTTTCCAAGCCCTTTAAAGTTTTCGACATAATCCCACTGAATGTGTTTGAACTAATATCGAAAACCGTCACGTTTGCAAGTTGTCTGATTTCAGGAGGCAGGCATCCGGTAAACTTGTTGTTGGATAATACTACCTCATTTAAGGTGTTCACCATTTTTCCAATGCTATTGGGGATGCAGCCTTCAAGATGGTTGTTAGCAACGACAAGAACCGAGATGGGGGAGTTGCCGAGATTTTCAGGAATGGTGGATGTGAATCTGTTGTCATTCAAGAACAAAGCATCCAGTTCCTTGTTGAAAAGCTCAGGAGGCAACTTCCCTTCGAAATTGTTGAACCTGAGGTCGAGGTACTTGAGGTTGGGAATTTCCAGGACAACGTCGGGGAATGATCCCACGAAGCGGTTGTTGCTAACATCAAACTCGTGGAGAAGAGTTAGCCTTCTAAAGCTCTTGGGGATGATTCCACAAAACCTGTTGGAGTTGATGTGGAACAAGGCCATGTCCGTCAACAACCCTAATTCCGCAGGAAGGTGTCCGGCGATGTCTGCGTGGTTGAGATCAATGCCTGCCACCACCTCAATTTCCGGATCATCAGGAGCCGGAGCGCAGAAAACTCCAGTGTAAGCACATACATTCTTGCCAACCCAGTTTTGGGTTGTTTTCAAAGGGTCCGAGTACACGGCCTTTTTCAAAGCTTGAAGCCCAATGTATGCGCGTCGAAGCCTGGTATTTGGAAACTTCAGATCAAGCTCAACCTCAAATTCATAGTTGTCAGGAATGTCGCCGCCCTCTGGGAGACTGACGAGCTGGCGATGTGCAATAAATGACACTTCGGCATCGGTTAGGGCGGAGGAAAAAGAGGAAAAATAAGAGAAAAGGAAAAAACTAACTAGAAAGCAGCCATAGGCCTGCATGATTTTTCCACTGCCTCCTTGGTTTTGCCCAAGGCTGCTTATTAGGAGATGGGGGAGAGAGCGGGAGGAGGCAGTGTTATATTGAGATGGAGGGCACTTTGGTTAGGTATCTATGAGAGGCTGTGCAAAAATTTCTCTGCATGTTTGGTTCGTTCCAGCAATTTGCTGATGCTTTTTGGAATGATGTCTAAAATTAGGGTTTCTGTTTGGTAATGGGCATGATGAGTTGTTCGAAACTTTTGCCTAAATTGCATCTGATGGCTAAACGATTGACCGACAATGACTAGGTCTCATTTTCATTCGTTCTTTTTTCTTTGGTTGGGTAAAAAATTACGTTTACGTTTTTTTTTTAATTATCGTATACCATATGAGTCACGTAAAAAATAAGATAGAGAAATAAGAAATTTTGGGTCCTATAGGTAATGTAATGGATGAGAATGAGAGATGAAAAACATAATTTCATTAATGTAATAGTTATACAATTAAAGTGAGATGAGAGATAAGATGTAATACCAATCAATTTTTTGTCAAACATATTATTCATGAGATAGAAAGATAAGATGTAACTCAGATATTATAAAAATCTCTCCAAAAAAACGACTTCAAAACTTTTACGTTGACTCAAATCTTGAGCTAATATGGCTGTGATCCGAGTCTACTGCTAGAGTTTAGCCAAAGATCAGTGCTTTCAACCACATGGCTTGAGGGCCGGCCACCCAACAACTCTAAAAATGAACACAATAATATTTAGGTCCAACTTGATGGCCCTTCCCAAAATTCTCTGTCTCAAATTCTATGCTCAATCCACCAAATAAAGGAAAAATAAAGGAGACAACTCTTTGTTTGTTTTAATTACCTTTTGGTATGGTTAAATAGTTGTGTTTTCCTAAATTCATTTGGAAGATGTATCCTTTTATTTTGTTTCTAAATTTTTACACATTGAAATGCTTATGATTATTTGAAGCATTTTTAATAGTTCCAAAATGCTTATGATTATCTGAAAGCATTTTTAATAGTTGCGAAATTTGAGATCGGTAAATTTTTTTTTTGTCAATGAGATAACTACATAAGTACCCAAGTGTGACTTATAAACTAATATTTGTTCAAAGTTACAATTTTTCTTTTTGAGGGAATTCAAAATTACAATTTTAAGGGTAAAGAAAACTTCCATCTCGAAAAACTTTAGAATGTGCTAACGCAAAATCTATCTGTCACACCATTAAATCTTCGACATTTACGAGTTATAATATACGTGAATATATTATTACTTATTTAAATGACACTAGAATTAACAAAATGATATGACAGTCAAATTGAAAAATTTAGCAGCAGCAGAATCTTTAGTTTGATCTGACTTTTGGGTAGCGGTTTGACTTAAAATCCTTTTACAAGGAAGACCAGTCAACTGAGAATCCTCTTTAGTTTGTGCGGTTCCATACGATATACCAATTTGTTTTTGTACTTAAACCACATTATACGCGTTTTGAGCCCATTATTACAGTCAACAGCAAGAGCTGCCCTCCTTCCTTCGGCTCTTTGGTACAAAGAGGAAGAAGAAGAAGGCCAATCCCCACCAACTCTTCTTTTAGCCTAAAAGGCCGGCCAGCCAGCCAGCCAGCCAGCCAGCGGAAAACCCCAAAACAAAAAGCACTTTTGTATTTCAAATGATTCCCCCAACAAGCTAGAAAACACCAACAACGCCATCGATTTCTTCTTCTCTTCGTTCCCATCGCCAACGGAAGACAAAGCCGCTTCTCTCTCTATGGAATCCTCTGCGGCGGAGGAAAGAACCTCCAGCTCCGCCGCGCTTACCACCACCCTCTCCAACTCAATCCAAGCTTTGGGTCGCGGCTTTGACGTCACTTCCGATATCAGACTTCTCTACTGCAAAGGGGCACCCGGATCGAGGCTCGTGATTCTGGAGGAGGATCAGGGGAAAGATCTTGTTTTTTCTGATGGGGTTGTCGTGCCAAATGTGCCTGTCGACGTCGAGCGCGCGCCGGGGAAGAGGACCATTGACAAAGTTCATGCCTGCAGCTTCCATGAGGTGATTTTTCATCCAATTTTGGTTGATGGGTTTTTGTATTTTGTGAGTTTGGTTTTGGATTCTGTGATTATTTTGTTGTATTAATGTTTTCAGAAGCTTCAGTTCAGTATTGGACCTGCTGGATTTGAATTTTCTTTGTTTGTTTTGGCTGAGTACAGAAAGTTATAATCTTGGTTTATTTTAAGTTGGATAATGTTGCTTTGCTGGGTTTTTATGGTTCTGGGATTGATTTGTTTGCGAAATCGTTGGTTCCGATATCGTAATTCATGTTTTTGTGCTTTGTTGGATTTCTGGGAGTTGGTTAAATTGAATGACCGTACATTGGTTGCTTAAAGTTATTCAATTTTGTTTGTCATTCAATTGCTCTTGTGTTGCGTGGTTTGAAAGTTCGAAATGATATTGTCTTTCTCTTCTTCCGGGCTTTTGAGTTGTTTTTCTCCATATATTATATATTCTCGTAGGTAAGATAAAGCCTTATTTTCTGTAAGCATTATAGGCTAGGTTATCTTGAATTGTTTTGTGATATGCAGAGAATAGATTACTCATCTCTTACGGAACAGTGCACTATGAGCTCGTTACGCTAACATTCTAGTGAATGTTTATTTTCCTTCACAAGCAGCAAATTAATCGTATGGGATATTTCAGTGTTGGTTTTATATTTTGGTTCTGGATTGTACAGTGGGTTACTAGCCAGTGTAATTAGTCAATTTACCACGCAAAACATGAAGAAAACTGGGAAAATGTTGCATATCAGACAACAGATAGATGGCTACATAAAGAAATCTGGCATTAGGTAATTGTTTGAGTTCAACTGTTCGCAGAGTTTGCTAAAACTATTCGGTGCATTAGAGAATAAAATTTTACTGAGAACATGCTTAAACATAAAGTTTGTTTGGTTACTACAATCCCCAAAAAGCTTGAGCAGTTAGGATGTGAGCAAGCTGTTAATATATATTCTAACACTAGCTAACTCTAGATCTGCAGTTTCTTAAATTACATTTTCTCTTTGGAATATATCGTCCCAGTTATGGAATGAACAGTATCTCCTGCTACTTGGTCAGGATTTGGTGCATGCAGTTGGATTTCCAGTTGCTTCACCTAATTACAGAAAAACATTTTACCTTGTTGTTATACGACATTTTTTGTGACCTGATGGCTTTGATGCTTGAAATTTCAGATGGCAGAATACTTCAACAAGAAAGCGGGTATTTCAGGGCGCGTTCCCCTTGGAAGCTTCAATGCCATGTTCAATTTCACTGGTTCTTGGCAAGTTGATGAAGCAACAACCAAATCCCTTGCCATGATTGGATACTTCATTCCCCTATACAAAGTTAAACTAGAAAAGGATAATTTAGTTTTGCATGAGGAAATTAAGCGTGCTGTTCCGTACTCATGGGATCCTGCAGCCTTAGCAAGGTAAGCAACTAAATATGACAGTATAAACATGAATCTGTGTTTTTTCAATTATAATCCTCTCAGTAAAAAATCAATTATCAACAAAGTTGATAGGCTAATACCTACAACTCATTTCCTGTCTATACCTTAAACTAATAGATCTTCTGGAGGCAACTTGGCAGTACCTGATTACTCAGTCTAATACTACTTTCTGTCATATTCTGTTTCCTACTTTGATCAGTGGGTTATAAAATACAACTAAAGAGCTCGGTGAAAATTTGAATGATTAACTATTTGACCTTTGTATGCTCAAAGACAAACTAATGGTGAGATACTTGATTGAAAATTGTCTAGATATGTACTTAAAGATGCTAATAACTGTTATTGAAACTAAACTTGATATGCACTAACAAGAAGGATAATCAATCAAAATTCCTTAAGTTGGGCAGTTCTTATAGTTACATGGCGCCCCATCAATTCATATCGAAATTTAAATTCAAAATGCTCCAAACTGCATTGTTTGATGTTGCATACCGCAGTGTGTTTTCTTTGTTAAGGTTACTAGATCTGTTGGTCTGTAAAACACCAGAATTTTTTATACAGAATTTTCTTCTTCTTCTTTCTCCTCTTGTTCATTTTTCAGTTTTATTGAGAGTTATGGTACCCATATCGTCACGTCTGCAACTATTGGCGGAAGAGATGTAGTTTATATCAGGCAGCACCGGTCATCTCCTTTGTCAGAAGGGGACATTGAGGATTATGTGAAAGACATAGGTGATCATAGGTTTGTGGACTCAAAAAGCCAGTCAAATCCAGGCCCTTTAAAATACAAGGATAAGGTTTGTGTCATAGGCATATTTTTTTCTTTTTTGTTGCGTGTGGTTTTACCAAGGAATTCAATCTGGCTATCACTGTTTTGTCTAAAAGTCTCACGAAACTTTTCTCTCATTCTTGAAATAATTCTTGAGGAAATGGATTTGCGTGTGAATATCCTTAATTTTGTGTCCTCCTTCAGGATGTTACAGTCATATTCAGGAGAAGAGGGGGTGATGATCTTGAGCAGAGTCATCCCAAGTGGGCCGAAACTGTACAACTAGCACCAGATGTGATTAACATGACATTTACACCCATTGTCTCTTTGCTTGAAGGAGTGCCTGGAATAAAGCACTTGAGTCGCGCGATTGAGTTATATTTAGAGTGTAAGAACTAATACAAAAAGCATTTTGTTAAAAATGTGACTTTTATTTCAATCTGATGACAGATAAATCATTTCAATTATGGTTGGTTTGAATTGTTTGTCTAGAACCCGAAACTTTGTTATATAGTTAGAAGCATGCTTCTCCATCTATTCAGGTCTCGGAGGTGTTTTTAACATTTATTATATGTTTGTCATTGTTTATACCAGACAAGCCACCAATTGAAGATCTGCAGTATTTCTTGGATTTTCAAATTGCTCAAGTTTGGGCCCCGGAGCATAATAATCTTCAAAGAAAAGAACCTGTGTGTTCATCACTTCAGTTCAGCTTGATGGGACCGAAGCTTTACATCAGCCCGGAGCAGGTACTTTTGTTGGTTCTCATTAGTTCTTTGATGAC